TGCAAAGGTACTTAGAAGGCTGCTTTCTTAAACAAATAACTTGCATATCAGATACAATAACATGTATGCAATAGGTCAATATCAGTCGACTGATATGTCGGTTGGGCTCTAGTAATAGTGTAGACAGTCCTTTATCTATTTGGGAAGAAAGGAAAATTACTAGCAGAAAGCACCAGGAATAGACCCCCATCTTTCTGATACAAGGCTACAGTACTGTGCCAGGGACTGCTGAGCCGGTCAGTGCTGGCTGGGGTCTAGACTGTAAGCAGAAAAAATGCTGTCAGTATTGGGTGTACTTGAATTATTGTTCAGGAAACTCTCAATAAAGCCCTTATTTTGTAAAAAAAATACATAAACCTCACTCATAGACCTCACTGTGGTTCTTAAAAAGGTCTTAAAATTATTGTCATTGTGGAAGAGTGTTCTTCGTGGCACCATAAATGTTTTATGTAGAACCATTTGAGCATGATGCTATAGAGAACCTTAGTGAAAAGGGTTGCTTTTAGCAACACAAAAGGTTCTGCTATGGTACATGCCTACAGAAAAATCTGCTCCTGCAACAAAAATCCCTTTTTGCTTCAGTATGCTGAGTTGGCTTTTTAAAGGTTTTCCTTAATCAATTAGTGTTCTATGCATACAGTATATGAAAACCTCTACCCTGACATAAATTCATCTTCTTAGAGTGGGACCTGTGTGTTTTGGTGTGTGAATGAAACAGGCTCCCTTTCATCAGAGGACAGGACATTTCTTCTAATCCACTTCATCTGGGGAAAAATATGCTAAAAAAAATATTTTTGCATTCCCTGTGTTTAATAATAGTCTCCATTAATAAGCATTCTATGGATGCAGCTTATCCTCTGGCTCATTGGAGTAAACAGCTCGTAGAAGCAGTTGCTTAAATTGATCCCCCCATATTTTCGCAATCACATGGTTACTGGAGATGTTTTGATTAGTGACTGAAACTAGCGGCGGATCTAGAGAGGTGGCAGCAGCCATCCTTAAAGCTGCAGTATTCAGAACTCAGGAATCAGGAAAACAGAATTAATTTAAAGATGCCGTTATTTGCAAGAATACACCGGGCCTGAATGAAAACAACCAATCAGAGCCGAGAAAAATAGTGATTGTTGAGTCTCATTCCCAGTTTCTATTGTTAGCTACAATTAAACTACAACTAGAACTATTTGGTTATGGCAACTATATCCTGACAGCAGTACATGTCGCCTCCAGAAGCTAAAAAAAAGATTATGCCCCCTTACATCCAAACTTTTTAGCAATTAGCAACTAATACAAAAAAGAGTCCAAGTTGATTTTAGTGAAATAAAGGTCAGGTTATGTTGAGGTTAGGGTTGTGCTGAATTAGGGTACTGGCAGTTTTTTTTTAATCTAATTCAGGCACTGTGCAGCCCTCCATCCTGCTGGCTAGAATGAGTTTATTATCCTTTTGCCTTTTTAAATAACAGTTTCTCTTGCTTGTTAAATTATTTTTCTGTTGTGGTGTACAAAAATGATGATAAATCTGAAAGATAAACACAGTCAGTTTTCTGTCATGAACTGCTAAACATAGCTGGCCATAGTAAATTAATGTAAATCTTTAAATAGTCTAAAACCAACTGCAGAATGTACAATTTTGTACACTGCCTGGGGGAAATCATGTAAATCCAGTCTTTCCTTATTATGTTGAAACAGAATCTCTGTGTGGACAGAGCACAAACTAACCCACCCACCTGTGTAGATAATGAGATAAATTGAATGCAGTGTGCAGAGAAAGTACTGACAGCTGCTGATTCTGAGGACACACAAGATGGACAGTATCTGAAACATAATGCATCAATGAATAAAACACCACAAAGTAATTGGTAAATGGTGGTTTAAATATCCTCCATCATGGGGATCATACTGTTTATCCTGCTGTAAAATGATTTCTACGCAAGTTTTAGATACAATTATAGTACTGTAAATCTGTTGGTTGTTTATTCTAAACATTCATTTGCACGTGCATGTAAGCTATCACACACATTGACACAAGTGTTCAGAAACAGACAGTACAATTTGAGGGTCTATTTATTGTTTTAGAATGAATTGTTTCACCAAATTGGTTTATTTCTTTGATAATTACACTTTTTAAAGTGCAAATGTCTTGAATGTTTGTTTTTTTTCAGGAAAAACAATCATTTAACAGAAATAGTCCTGATACTTTACTGATAAATACTGCTGTCTTTTATGACATATGGTGGTAACATTTTAGCCAGGTGCAATTCATACAGGCTCTAGCTCACTAAAGTTCCACATTAGCATAGCGACGGGAAACATTCTCATACTTACATGTAAATATTCATGTAATTACATTATCAGGCACTTCCATATGATCTAGCACCAAGATATAACTGAACTTTAAAAAAATCACAGTTTTCCAGATGTAATTACGATGTGGATGTTGACAGGAACTGCCACGTAATACAAAGCTCTTCTTAGACCAGTGTCAATCTTTCTACAACTTGTACCACCTCAGAAAATATCAGGCTCTCCAAGTACCACCATTATGATCGAGGTTAAAATACAGCAGTGTAGGCCGACCATGTTCAGCTACAGACAGTTCACACAGAGGCAGTTTTATTCCTAATAAGATTAGTTATCGTTGACTGATGTTAAATCCTGAAGGGAACCGGTTCAAGAACCAGAGCTTATCTGGTGGAAAAGGGGTCCTCCTGGCCCACACTTCTCTACCTAAGAGTTCCAGTTAGGAGCCAGAATTACAGTGTTTCTGAACCATTCATTTTACCTACGCTTACTTACCATGACAGGCTGATATTGACACTAAATATTACAGGAAATGCTAAACTTTGTTTAATTTACATTTCTGCAATCTTATATTTTTTATAAATTTTTTGTTATATTTTTAAATCCTTTTATGTTTATTTTATTTATTTTATTTCATTTACAGAACAATATTTCAGAGATTCCTCCGCGTACCACTAGAAGCCGTACCACAGTTTGAGAAGAGTGTCCTAGATGAAATAATGTAAAACTCAAACTTGCATGCTAGCAGGCTAATGCTAAACTATCTTAACTAAAGCTAACACGAAAACATGGTAATGCTAGCCCCTTTTAAAGGGCCAGGGTGTAACATTTAGACGGATATATTTGCAGAAATTTAATATAGGTATATATAGAAGTATGTTTCTACTATTGTATTGCCCTTCATGGAGTCCCCCATATTTCTACATTAGCCCAGAAGAGACAAACCAAACACTAACTCTAGATAGGGGTGTTTGCATTTTTTCGCAAACACTGAAGTTTCTTCTTTGCGCGAGAGGGTGAAGTGAGGGAGTTGTCATTTAAATCAAACTAGCGTGCTAACAGGCTAATTTGAGCTTCTACTCTCAATTAGAATGAATGAAGCAAATCAAACAAATCATGTACTCTTCTCTTTAATCTATTATCAGCAACATCTTCCATCATCTTCCAGCCACCAATAGTCAGTTTTACAAATGTATCACTATGTAGCATGCTGGTAGCCTGACTGAGCAATGGCCAGTAGTCATTTTGTTGGTTAGTAGTCATGTATTTTGCAATAAATTGCTAACCACTGAGGACCCACATTCACTCATCACTCACTGACATAATGACTGATCCATCCCAGACTGTACATCTACTGCATAGAACCAAAAATGACATGTGATTGTGTTAGAGAAACACAACACCTTACATTGACACCTACAAAACATTCTCTCCAAAATCAGAACTCTCACACACAAAACACGATATACACACACAAGGTCACCACAGATGAAGATAAACCCTCTTTTTCCTTTTACACACTGACAGCACAGAGAGACCCCCATTAATCTGAAAACATGAATAATTGAGTTAGTGAAAGCATTCCCAGGAGAGAGAGAGTGACAGACAGACCGGAGAGGACAGGGGAGGGGAGGAGAGAGAAGATCAGACTGGGACACAACCCAGGGAACGACCACTCCCAAAGATGCTGGTGGCCTTTGCTCACACACGCAGCCAGACAGCGCTGAGCCGACTACATGGAGAGGAAGAATGAATGCAGAAGATAAAGAATGGTACCATGTATGTGACGTGACAGCCCCCCCCCGCCCGCCCCCCGCCGCGCCCGCCCGCCGCCGCCCCCCCCCGCCCCCCCCGCTGCATATATAGATAGAATAGATAGATGATAGATGATAGAAGAGTAGTAGATAGATAAGATAATCTTTTTTATATTTTTTTTTCTATCATGTTTTTGATTTTTGCATGTTCCATGTGTTTCTCGTCGGATCCGTGTGTTAGTCATGCAATTGTTCTTTATCATCCTACCCGGTTCTTAATGCCTTCATCCATCATCCTTTCTGTCTTATTCTCTCATCTTTCTGTCCCTGATCCTGCTCCTCTACTTTTTACTGTGGCTGTTTTTTACTGGCATGTTTTCTGTAGGACATGTGATTGTTGTTTATGTAAATGCAAAGTGCGTATGTATTTTGCGTGTATTTATATTAATGTTTGTTTTGTGTTCGTTACCTGGACGGCCTGGAGGAGGGGGGCTGTGTCGTGTGTGCGTCGCGGCCGTGGTCGGGAACGGCTATGTAGTTCGCTGTAGATCGGTGTCCCTGTTGTCATGAGAAGCGGGGACAGGCTGGGAGCCTGGGCTGCGCGCAGCGAAGAGAAAGGCCTCTGTTGTGAAGCCCTGCGCGCCGGCCAGCCTTCCCTCTCGAGCTCGAATGGGGGAGAAGTGAAAGACAGGAGAAGCTGCGAGAGGAATAACGACTCGCTCCTCTTCGCTCGGCTTGAGGTTATGTTTCTGGCTGCAGGGCACGAGCCACCACCTCCCCCTCTCGCCTCCCCCCCCCGGCCTCCCTCCCGCGGGGGAACCGGGAAGTTGGGAAAGGGGTAGAGAAGGGGAAAAAAAAGGGGAATAGGGTCTTTTGACTGTTGACTGGAGTATGGGTTGCCTTCCCCAAATCTGGGGCCCTTTCCCCCCTTTTTTTTAAGGAACTCATACTTGTTGTGTACCCGGTCTTATATATGAGTTTGTACTTGGTCCGGTTTAGTGTATTTTTTAGCAAGATGAAGCTTTATGAATTCCTAACAAGTAATCAAGTACACCCAAATTACTGACAGCATTTTTTCCTCGCTTACAGTTCTAGACCCCAGCCATAGCACTGACCGGCTCAGGCCAGTCCCTGCACAGTACTGTAGCCTTGTATCAGAAAGATGGGTCATTCTTGCTTTCTGTATAATTTCCTTTGCTTCCCAATAGATAAAGGACTAGTCAATACACTAATTAACTACAGGAGCCCAACCGACATATTCAGTCGACTGTATTGACCTAATATGAACATGACACTGGTTAATTGTATCTGATATCGCAAAGTTAGTTTGGTCTTAAAAAGCCAGCCTGTCTAAGTACCTTTAGCATGAGTTACGCATTCAATCTAAAAATTTAATTCAAATTTAGTCTATTGGTATAGCGCCAATTCATAACAAAGTGTAATCTCAGACACTTGTTCAAATAACATCTAGACCGAACTCCATATAACATTTACAGAACCCAACAGTACCACCATGCAGCAACCTTGGAGACGAGGGCAAAAAACTTTGGACGTGGGTGGTCGTTCTGCCTCGACCAAGTTGGCGGTGAGAGAAGATGAAAGAGAGAGAGAAGAGAGAGAGACAAGACAGACAGACAGAGAGTGCACTACTGTCACATAGAAAAGGTCCTCTTTCACTCCAGCTCAAAAACTTGCAACTATATTGCCTGCTCATACTCGGGATAAATTTGCGTGAATTTTTCCTTTCTAAAATTGGTACCAGTCTCAAAAAACTCCCATAATCGGATCCCGCTAATCACCCCTTAAAAAAAGGAAATTGTACAATTTGATATGCAGCGTAGATCGACACGATCGACAGTACTCATGTTCATCAAAGTTTATGAACCTCCTAGCAGTATTTGAGGCAAGTGCACTGCGTTAGTTTCTGAGCTTACAAAAATTGTGAAGACGAGATGTGACAATTAAAAATTAAATCGGAAACTTAGTCAGTTAAAAGACTTTCTTGATTAGAGAGTAATTTTTGGACGAAAGTGTCTTGGTTGTCAGTAAGAAAATAGAGAGATAGCAAAGTTAAATTGCGGCTGTTTCCAGCCGCAGTCGGTGCATAGAAAGACGCTGATGATTGTCACGTGCCAAGTTAATTGACTGCTATTAGAAGACAGAGGCGAAGGAAATTGATACGAAAGAATTGTTGGTGTGTTTGAGGACTATACGAAAATTGAGTTA